TGACAGGGAAGATGGAGTCAAAAATCACTTGTTTAGATGATAGCAATTTTATGCACCAGCGACTTATGAAATATAGGCAGAGTCACCCGAACAATAAGGAAACATCCCTGGGCCCTTAGAAACATAAATTACATGCTTGGCATCTGGGATGTAAACTGCGTTGTTTTCCTCTTTGGATGTAGATAACAGTTAATGATGACAAGGGCGTAGCGAGCATAATGTAATTTCCCCCTCTGGAAGTGTGTCTTGGAAATCATAAAGCTATTTCTGGTTCAAAGGATGACTTTCCAAGAATTAACTTAAAGAGCTTCCCAAGCCAGAGCAACGGAGAGCAGAACAAAATAAAAACAAGACGGAACCCTCCTAGGGAAGTAGTTCATTTGTTTTCCCTTGAAAAGAAGCTCCATGGTCCCTCTTAGTCCTCAGATTCACTGAGGAAGTAGTTTCTCTTTGTAGAATGTGTGGAATAATAGCCAAGTTCTGTTGAGTGGAGTGACCTCCTGGAATACCCATAGTGCCCCTCTCCTGCAATACCCATAGTGCCCCTCTCCTGCAATACCCATAGTGCCCCTCTCCTGGAATACCCATAGTGCCCCTCTCCTGCAATACCCATAGTGCCCCTGTCCTGCAATACCCATAGTGCCCCTCCCGTCACTGCATCTTCCCAGTGTGCTCTTCCAAATCTGTGTGAGGTAGTTCTAGTCCCCTATTTTTGGACAGTCCATTTGAAGGCCAGAGAGGTTATTGTAAGCTATAGAACCTCCAGCCCTCCTTCCAGTAAGGCCCCACCTTCTAAAGGTTCTACAACCATCCCAAGCAATGTCATCAGCTGGGGTCCAAGTGTGTAAATAATCCTGTGGGCACAGTTCTTATACAGACCATAGCAGATAGGATAATAGTATGACTGTGTCGGAAAATTTAAGGTCTAGCTCTTGTACATTTTGGCTCAAGGGCTCTGAAATATGCTCCATGTAATAACTACAGACAAGTATTTTCTACATAGATTGAGGGTTGTCCTAATTTCCTTGTGGCCACAACAAACCGGCATCTATTCTCATTCTCTCTATCGAACTCCTGAGTGCACAGAGACCTACAACCGACCCACATGCTGAGAATAAGACTGTGGAGCACTCAAAATGGGACATCTGTATAGCACTCCCTCTCCACGAGCCTCAGGGTTCGTCACAGAAGAGGGTGTGGAAACATGATAAGAGCCAGAGGTAGTGGACACATGCAGAGAAAGAGTATTTGCTGGATATGACAGGACCAGGGCCATTGCATGTGAGCTCACAGTGGCCATGACTGCATGTACAGAACCGGTACAAGAACAAGCCCCCCCAAAGTCCCAACATGGGCAGGGAAGGGCTCATGAGGACCCACTCCTAGCTAATGAGATATTGGCAGCTGATGGTTGCTGGGGGAAGGAGAGTCAGCTTTCTTCAGGAACATGACTCCAGCAGACAGTCCTGTATCCATGCATAGATACTGGCAACCTTAAGTGGACTCAGTGGGTTAAAACAAGAAAGAGCACATGAAGTGGGACAGAAAAATGTTCTGGGTAGATAGAGGAAGAGATGGAGGGGAAGGAAGGAAGGAGGGAATTGGTGTGAGATTGATCAAAACACATTGTATGTATGCAAGAAAAAAATTTTTAAACAATTAGAAAATCTTTATTTCAAGCCTTCTTGCTATCAGGAACTTAGTTCCAGATATGTGTAAACATAAACAAGTAGTAGTTTCATTTGTCCATTCAATTACAATTATTATCCAAGGGGTTTATTAATTTACCACTTAATGCTTTGAAAAAGTATTTTTAAAATTTGAGATCATGCCAGGAGGTGGTGGCGCATGCCTTTAATCCTAGAACTCGGGAGGTAGAGGCAGGCGGATCTCCGTGAGACCAGCCAGGTCTACAAGAGCTAGTTCCAGGACAGCCTCCAAAGCTACACAGATAAGTCCTGTCTCAAAATACCCCCCCAAAATTGAATTAATTTTTGGGGTACCCTCTGTGGAGCAGGCTCTGTGGTCTGTCTGCTAGCACATTTACTACAGTGTGCCCATTGGGAAGAGAACCATGGAACCATGCTGTGGTTTTGTTGTAAAACTCTGTAGATCCTGCTCATCAGTGTCATGTTCCCCTGATTTTCCTTTTTAAAGCCCCAGTTACTGTTGTAGTATTTGCTGTTTAAAGGGCCAACTCATACACACTGATTACAGAGTATCATGCTAGCATGCTTCTTGGAGTGGTTGCAAGGTGGATGTCCTTGTCTGATTCCTGTTTCGGTGGTAAACACGGAGACCAAAGCAACTTGAGGAGGAAAGGGTTGATTTCACCTCACATGTCACAGTCCATCATTGAGGGAAGCCAGGGCAAGGGACTCAAGGCAGAAGCAATGGAGGAATGGAGGAATGGAGGAATGGAGGAATGGAGGAATGGAGGAATGGAGGAATGGAGGAATGGAGGAATGGAGGAATGGAGGAATGGAGGAATGGAGGAATGGAGGAATGGAGGAATGGAGGAATGCCACTTTTCTGGCTTGCTACCCCTAAGCTCACACAGCTGCTTTTCTTTTTTCTTTATACTTTCCTTTATTTGTTCTCTGTGTCTTTTGCATCAGCAACTCAATCCCATTCATTTCCCTGTCCCTTCATATCCACTCTCTGCCCTTGCAACCCTCCCCCAGATAAAATAAAATTTAAGAGAGGAAAAAATGAAAAATAAATCTTGTCATGAAAGCTGTAATGCGACACAGTGAGTCATGCAGTAAACGATTTTGTCCATATATCGTTCCTTGCAAGTTTTCATTGCCAAGCTTCATGGGTCTGGTTGGAGGCCTCTGGTTTCTGCTGGGGTATCAATGCTGGCCCTTCACGGGACTTCTCTAGTTAGACTGCTGTTGCTCTGTGTCGTGGAGATCCTGTGTCTTAGGGTCTGCAGGATCTGTCCCTTCACGTGCTCCAGCAGATCACCGGTGGGGTGGGTGTTGGGGTGGGTGTTGGGGTGGGTGTTGGGGTGGGTGTTGGGGTGGGTGTTGGGGTGGGTCAACTCATAACCCTGGTGCTGGGCCTGAGTAGTTGCAAGGTTGGTCATCCCACTAGTTCCCCCTTGTCCTCACCATCAGGGTGAGCTCTCCAGCACTGCCCTGGCTAGATCAGCAATGAGCAATGGGCAAGGCCTATTTTCATACCCCCAAGATCAGCTATCCCACACCTACACCATCAGGGCCACACAGTTACCTGTCTTATACAGCCCAGACCTGCTTGCCTACAAATGGTACCTCCCACAGTGGGCTAGACACTTCTACAGTAATTAGAAATTAAGAAAATGCCTCACAAACAGGGCTACAGGCCAATCTGTTCTAGACAATTCTTCTGTTGGGATTCCCTCTTCCCAGGTGACTCCAGGTGTGTGTATGGTAGACAGCTGAAGCTAATGATGGCAGCTGGGAAGGGGCATTTGCAGAAGTGTAGCTGTTCCCTCCTCTTTGTTGTCTTTTCTCTTCATCTGCTTGCCTCTTCTGAGGACAGAGTCTTGGTTGCTTACCAGGCTCTGAGTCTTCTGCTGGGCCCCAGGAGGATACTGTTGTTTTTTTTTTTTTTTTTGGTTTTACAAGACAGGGTTTCTCTGTATTGTTTTGGAGGCTGTCGGTCCAGCCTGGCCTCCAACTCACAGAGATCCTCCTGCCTCTGCCTCCCGAGTGCTGGGATTAAAGGCGTGCGCCACCACCGCCCGGCCAGGAGGACACTGTTAAGGGAAGGTGTGAGACTTGAAGTTCACATCACTTCCATCAGAAGAGGAGGAGATTCATAGCATGTCAAGGTTTGAAACTGAGGTTCACACGATACCCAGAATGAGGTAAGCATGGATCATAGGGGCTCACAGAGACACTGAAGCAGCAACCATGGAGACTGCATGGGACTGTGCTAGGTCCTCTCCATACGTGATGTGGTTGTGTAGCCTGGAGTTTTTGCAAGAGTCCTAACAATGTGAGGGGGAGGTTGCCTCTAACTCTTTGCCTGGTCTTGGGACCCTTTCCCTCCTGCTGGATTGCCTTACCCAGCCTTGATATATGGTTTGTTCCTAGTTCTATTGTAACTTGCTATGCTGTGTTTGGTGTCTGCTCTTTTCTGAAGGGGAATGGGGAAACAGATGGTCTGGGCTGGAGTAGCGGGTGCTAGCAGGAGTGGAGGGAGGGAAGGCTGTGATTGGGATGTACTATATGAGAGAAGAATAAATAAAAAGACAAGAAATTGGAGTTCAAGAGTGCTTGCTAACTGAGATGATCCAGCCTTGCAGAATACTACAACCTGGACTTAACAATCATATTAATTTTCTCAGGGTCCCTCAAAGATTACCAGTACCCCCAATCTACAGGAAGTAGTCTGGAATACTATATCTACATTCCTCCCAAAATGGGTTATGGATATTTATTATCATTTAAGGGGGTTTGGTTACACGTTGTTATTGGTAATGGTCAGAAAAAAAGTGGAATAAAGGATTTCTTTCTGGAACTTTGTCAAGAGAAGGTAGGACAGCGCTTCAAAATTCCCTGCTTCACGGGAAAGTCTGGCAGATGTTCTAGTTGGATGCCCAAATGTTGCAGAGGGATCTAGGTTGACTGTCTAGGTGGCCTGATGTCTCTGTCTTTAGGTAACATTTCACTTTTCTGGAATCTTTGATAGAGTTCAACACTAGATAGTTATAATTTTCCTTAATTATGATAAAAAGATAAATTATATATAAAAGTTATAGTTTTCTGTAATTATGACAAAAAGGTAAATTAGTTGTAAAACTTTTGAGTGACAAATATAAACTAGATAATATAATATTTTCTCTAACTTTGTCAAATACAAGTAGACTATATATTGTAGCTATATTTCTTTGCTTGATAGCTATTTTTGTTGTATATAATTTTACTATGTTAGAGTTAAAACCTTCCCTTTTAATTAGACAAAAAGGTGGAAATGCTGTGGAATAATCCTCTTGTACACTGTAAAGATTTGTCACTGGAATTGGTTTAATAAAACACTGATTGCTCAGTAGTCATGCAGGAAGTACAGTTAGGGTGAACACACTAAGGATGATGGGAAGGAGAAGGGGCAGAGTCAGGAGATGCCAGACAGATAGAGAGGGAACAGGAGATGAATGTGCCTTGCTAATAAAGGTACTGTAACATGGCAGAGCATAAACAAGGAATATGGGTTAACTTAAAATATAAGAGCTAGTTAGTAATAAGCCTGAGCTATTGGCTGAGCATTTATAAGTAATATTAAGTTTCAGGGTGTTTATTTGGGAGTTGTTGGCAGGACAGAAACTTCTGCCTACACCAGAGGACTCTGAGGTGGAGTTCTTTTGAATAAGAAATTTAATAGGGGGATTCTTAATGTCAAGGAAAGGGGGCTCTGGGGAGAGCTCAGGCCCACAAAGCAGAGTGATCCTCTCTCCTTAGTTTCAGAGTGGAGAGGTCCCACCCCATGCCATTGATGAGCAGGCCATAGTAAGCTGCTGCGGGTAAGTTGTTTCTGAATTCCAGAGACAGGGAACAGAACAAAGGTCCAGCCCTTTGGTTTATGAATGTCCATAATGGGATGTGTCTCCTGTAGGCCCTGTTTACCAAGGAGAAGTCAGAACCACGGACTCTTTGTAGGACTCTGGTGGCGAGAACTACGGAATCGGGTATTTGAGAGTCAGGGAATGTGGCTGCTGTGGGTGAGCACGGCCTAACTGCTCCTAGCCCCACCCCTGCCAGGGAAGCCTTAGGAGACAAGCGAGTCTGCAGGCGTTTGAGGAGTGAGATAGAGACAAGGGGAATGTGCTGCCATGAACCTTCTGGGAGGGACGGGAGGGGTGACAACCGACAGGTGGCCCTCTGCCACATGATGCTGCGTCATGCTGCGCAAAGCCTTGGTCCTCAGCTTCTCAGAAATGTTTCAGAGCTCAGGTTGTCTGGTTCTGAGACAAAATCCTGTTGGCATTTCATTCTTTCCCTCATTGAACACAGTGTAGAGATCACTTGGAGGGGGGGGGGGTTGACAGCCTTCCTGCACAAGGACAAAGATAACATATTCATTTCCGTAGCTTCCTTAGTCCTTATTTATCATACTTTAGCTGTGTTTCATGCATATTCCATATCTTGCTAATTTGAATCAATTCTATCCAAAATTCATTGTTAGATGTTTTCTATTTTTGCTACCCTTGTCAAGGGTAGCTTTCCTTCTATGACATTTCCCGAGAGTGTGCTGTTTTTCTGTAGGCACACCACCTGTTTTTAGTGTGCTGTCATCATACCCTATGTCTTGATATTAGTATGCTTCTATACCCTGCTTGTTTTCTGTTGTTTGAAATTGGATGAGTCTCTGGAGTTCCAGGGATACAACCATATTACCTGCGGACAATGTTGTTCCTTCCTATCTTTTTTTTTTTTAATAAGTTCATTGTCTTAGATAATTGCATCAGCCAGGATCTCTGTAACAATGTCAAAGGCTACATGTAGGGGTGGTGACGTCATGGGCTTTTTCTCTGCCTGAAGAGTATGTCTATAGAGCCATGCTACCATGATTGACAGGGGCCTGCTTCTCTGTTAGTACAAATTGTCCCTCTTCCCTCAGACTTTCCTGGTTTTAATACCGAGAGTCCCATCCTGGGAAACTTCTCAGCCTGAGGCAAACCTCAAGAACAGTGGATGGGAGTCATGTCTGATCATTTTCCAGCCTCTCTGGAGACACTTAAAAAGTTTCCATTTCATCTGTGTGATCCACAGCATCTATGTGTTTAATAATATTAGGTTTACTTTGCCTTGCTATGAGCTTCAGTCGATCTTGCTATGCTAGTTCTTGTCGGCGCGTGAATCTGTGTGTACACATGCAGGTGTGTACAGGTGGGCACACACAGCTGTGTGTACACGTGCAGGTGTGTACAGGTGGGCACACACAGCTGTGTGTATGCATGCAGGTGTGTGCAGGCGGGCACACACAGCTGTGTGTACACGTGCAGGTGTGTGCAGGCGGGCACACACAGCTGTGTGTACACGTGCAGGTGTGTGCAGGTGGGCACACGCACCTGTGTGTACGTGTGCAGGTGTGTACAGGTGGGCATACACAGCTGTGTACCTGCGTGCAGATGTGTACAGGCAGGCACACACACCTGTGTGTACGCGTGCAGGTGTGTACAGGTGGGCACACACAGCTGTGTGTACATGTGCAGGTGTGTACAGGTGGGCACACACAGCTGTGTGTACACGTGCAGGTGTGTACAGGTGGGCACACACACCTGTGTGTACACGTGCAGGTGTGTACAGGCGGGCACACACAGCTGTATGTACACGTGCAGGTGTGTACAGGTGGGCATACACAGCTGTGTGCCCGCATGGGGAGGTCAGGGGTCAATGCAGGGGCCTTCTCAGTTGCTCTCTATCCCATTGTTTGAGAAATAGTCTTTCACAGAGTTTGGGGGTGGGAAGTGTCACCGTGTCAACTACACTGGCTGGCCAGCCAGACCCAGAGGTCTGTCTGCCTCCCCCAGCACTAAGATTACAGGAGTGTGCTAGGGACCCCCTTTCTCCAGCAAGGTTCTAGCATCCTCCCAAAGGTTCCACATCCTTCCACAGAGATGCCACCATTGCAGAGCAAATGTAACCCGTGAGCACATTTCCCATGCAAACCATAGCAGAGACTTTCTTCTTTGGCCCAAGGAGACATGCACTTGTTTAAGTCAGAGTGGCTTTTTCAGCCACACCCCAGGTGGTCCACATGCTCCGGGTGTTAGAGCTTGCTATAAATGGGAACTGTCTTCTAGAGGCCCATATGCTAAAGGCTTGGTCCCCAGCCTGTGGTGCTACGGGGAAGTGGTAGGATTTTAGGATGTGAGTTCTTGTTGGAGAAAGGCAGGTCACTGGGGGCGTTCTCTGGAAGGCCACATTGGGACCTACTCTCCTCTTCTCAGTCTGCTTTATGGCCGCTACACGATGAGCAGCCCTCTTCTTGCCTCCATTCTAACCGTGACGACACGACCACAAGCTTGATGACAGAGTTGAGAGATCATAGACTGAAACCTCAGAAATCACCAACCAAAACAGATCTTTCGTCTCTGTGAGTTGGCTGGCTCAGGTATTTTGCCACAGTGGTAAGAAGGTGACTCACACACCCCTTTTCCTATTGAAGTTTCTTTTTCTGGCCTTCCCTTGCCCTCTGAGGAACACAGATTCCTATGAGTCACAGGAAATGCTGGGATAGGCATAAGCCATCCATGAGTCTGTGCCAAGCCTCAAACCAACTGTTTGATTCTCCTTTTCCTGATTCGCTTATTTGTATTCTAAACGTAAGAAAAAGGAAAAGAGAAAAATGGCTTCCTTGCCAATGTGGGGGAAAAATGACTTCCTTACCCGTGTGTGGTGCAGCATGACTCTAAGGTAGAAAGAGAAGAGGCGGTGAGTGGCTGTGCCCTGCTGTTACCCCACAGGGTTCCTTTAGCAGAAGGGGGCTGGACGGCTTCCTCTGGACTGATTCCGCTCACCCACTCGTCACTGCTCATAGCTTCTCTTGCCCGTCTGCTGGACTTTGATTCCTCCGCTGCTCCCTTCTCCCAGGCTGCCAGATCTGGCTGGCAGTTTCATTTCCTACAAAAGAAAGAAAGGAAGAGCACCTATAGCCCTACACATGTGATCCCAGCTCAGACCCCAGGTTGAGGGTGGAACCAACACACCTTCCTTCCAAGTCATCATGTTCCCCAGGGGAACACAACGGACCAGGTCCATGTTCTCCATGCAGCCGTCCTGCAGGACCAGACGCTACAGCCTTACAGCCATCCCAGGCTGAGGCCTGGAAGGTCATCCCCATACCATCCTCCACCCTTAAGCATCTTACCATCAGTCGCATCGACTCTGCACCATGGATCCTACTCTTCAGTTCCCTCCTCCCTCTTCCTCCACGCAGCCAAAGCCAAGCTATCATTTCTCTGGATGCACGAATGACCTCATGCTCAACTCCCTGCATCTTTGCCTGCCTCCAGCTCTGCCTTCCTCCTGCTCCATCCTGTGCAGAGCTGGTTTTAGCTCACATTCGAGACAGGCATGAGGACTCTGTGCCCAGATGCTATGATTGGATGGAACCGAAAGGCATCCCGTCTCCCTGCCTAGACTGTTAGCCTGGAAAACATGTGATGAATCCCAGGCAAAATCTGATCCTGTCCCTGTGGGCAAGAGTAATCCTATGGAATACAGAGGTGCAAACTGACCTGCTGACGGTTGTACTACTCTTTCTTGGGATGGGGTGGGGTGGGGTGGGCAGCTGTGTATCCCTGAAGACTCATGGGGGATGTCCTGGACCTGGACAGGCCAGGTGCTCAGCACACCTGTGTGATTGATGATGCTCATGTCATAGCATGTCACCAAGTACTTCCCGGCTGAGTGATGAGGGAACATGTGAGAAACCCACTTTCCTTTTGTAGCAGGGCTGGGTGGAGAGGGAACCCGGAAGCTAGGATCAGGAACTGGAAGCTTGGGGAGGGCATGAATAAAGAAAGGTGGGGAGGACAGAGAGAGAGAAGAGAGGGAGGGGAGGGGGCTGGAGGAGAGGGGACAGAAATGAAGGAAAGCGAAGACTAAAGAATGAAGAAGAGCAAAGGAGGAGGTGGGCGTGAATTTAAGTGGGAAGAGTGGGAGAAGGAGGGATGGGGAGAGAAAGGGGAGGGAGGGGGAAAGAAAGAGGAAGAGATGGAAAAGGGGAGGAGGAAGAGAGGGAGGAGGGGAGGAAGAGGAAGAGAGGGAGGAGGGGAGGAAGAGGAAGAGAGGGAGGAGGGGAGGAGGAGGAAGAGAGAGGGAGGAGGGGAGGAGGAGGAAGAGAGGGAGGAGGGAGGAGGAAGAGAGAGGGAGGAGGGGAGGAGGAGGAAGAGAGGGAGGAGGGAGGAGGAGGAAGAGAGGGAGGAGGGAGGAGGAGGAAGAGAGAGGGAGGAGGGGAGGAGGAGGAAGAGAGAGGGAGGAGGGGAGGAGGAGGAAGAGAGGGAGGAGGGAGGAGGAAGAGAGAGGGAGGAGGGGAGGAGGAGGAAGAGAGGGAGGAGGGGAGGAGGAGGAAGAGAGAGGGAGGAGGGGAGGAGGAGGAAGAGAGGGAGGAGGGAGGAGGAAGAGAGAGGGAGGAGGGAGGAGGAAGAGAGGGAGGAGGAAGGGATGGAAGTGAAAGGAAGTAGAGAAGAGAGCGAGTGAGAGGGAGGAGGGGTAGAAAGGAAGGGATGTGGAGAGGAGAGGGACAGAGAGAAGGAGCCGGGAGGGGGCGGGGGGGGGGAGATGGAGGGTGGAGGGGAAGGGGAAGTTCCTGGGGGCACTGGGTGTTCAGAATCTGAGAATTGTGGGTTATTACTGTCCAGGCACCTCAGACAGGAGTGTGAGGTAGGCACTTGAAGCTGTGGGGAGGAACAGGCTGCCGGTGGATGCAAGCATGATTCCAGAGGCCGCCTCACTGCCTCCTCGCTTGGCAGTTACCCTCGGTAGAGCATCCACTGAATTGGGGCACTCAGTCCTGGCTAGCATTCGTTTGACAGGCAGGCCAGGCTGCTGTCCCCGGGCCCTGACAGCCACTTTCCTGCTGGATAAACCAGTAGCAGCCTGGAGAGCCTCGATTCCCCTCAACGTTCCTGTTGTACTCGCTGGGCAATGGGCAGGTAGGCAAGGCCTGTTGAGACCAGGCAGGGTTCAAGGCTCATTCCCAGAGAGCACCCCATCCCCTTAGTCGGGTGACTGTGTGGCCTTCCCTGGAAAATGCAGCTTACCATTCACAGTCAACAGAGTGAATCTTCCCATATTGTTTTCTTTTTTTCTGATCTGTTTGTTTAAAAACTGTTTGTTTCCCAAACTTTAAGTGACATTCTTGGCCCTGTCAATCATCTGCTTCCCAGTAGGTACAGGGTGTATCTAGAAGATGTTTTTAAACTCTCAGGTTCCCGGCAGCTGTGAGCAGCATTCAGACACTCCCACATCACCAGATGCTCCCCCACCACCTGACACTCCCGCATCCCCAGATACTCCCGCATCCCCAGATACTCCCGCATCCCCAGATACTCCTGCATCACCAAAGAGCATTGCTAGGACTCCTGGATTAATGAGTCTGTTTTCTAAGTACTCGGTGACGTCACCAGGGTGTGGCAGACAGAGGCAAACATCTGGTGATCTGACCACTGCTGTGGAAGTCTGGGCCATCTCGCACAGGCTGGAAGCTGAGGCAGACACTACACCTGACCCCACTCCTGAGGATGCTGCCGTTACCCAGCTAGAACTCCTTCACCTTTTGGGATTGGTAGTTTAGAGTAGCCCTCTGCTTCCTGCTCAGGCTGGGTTGGGCTCCACTTATCACTGGCTTCAGGGGTGTCTGATTTGGGGCCCAAAGAGCACCCTCAGGCCCCGAAGTGGGGGTTGCTTTCATGGTGTGTCTCAGGCTCCTCAGTTCTCTAGGGTTCCCTGTAATCAGGCTCCGAGGACCACAGCCCGGCAGTCCCCTGTGTTCCCTAAGACTCTTCCTACCAAACCAAGAACATCCAGGCAGCTCTCCCCTGCCTGTCTTTAGGGAATCCCACCCAAGACACTGGTTTAATGGTTAATGTTAATTTTTGGTTTGAGAGCATTTAGGATCCCCAGGACAGGGGACCCCGGGCATGCCTGTGGGGCATTATCTTGTTTATATTGAGATGGAAGACCTGCCCACCGTGGGTGGCACCCTTACCCTGGCTGGCATGTCAGACCGTGCCAATGAAGGAACGGAGGTGTGTATCAGCCTCCACTTCCCGACCAGGGAGGAGACGTGAGCTGCTTCAAGCCTGAGTGGTCCATGATGGTCTCCAATCTTGAGTTCTTCCAGGCGATGGACTGTATCGTCGGACTGTGGGGCATAGAGAAAACCCTCTCTCCCTTAAATTGCTCTTGTCAGAGTATTTTATCACAGTCTCAGGAAAAGAAACTAAGACGCCAGCCAGTCATGCCTTGTTGACTAACAACTGCCGTGTTGCCGGTGTGGCTCAGGTGTGCAACAGTTTTTACCCTAGCGCTGCCAAAAACAAGTAAACGAATAAATAAATAAATAAATAAATAAATAACCCCCGCTAAACAGTTGGCTGCTTTCCACAGGAGGAAAGCAGCAGCTTGGAGATACAGGAGAAAGGACACACCAAGCGGAGGCAGTGATAAGGTGGCGGCAAAGGGAATTACTCTGCATCACTTCCTTTTATTTTGATTCAGACCACCCGCCAGTTTGAAGTCGCCACAGTGTGATGATTGCTCAACGTGAAGATGTTACAGTGAGTGAGCGCTATCAGCATAACTCTCCGACTGTGTCTCACTTCTCAGTTGTTATGTAGTGGTGTGTGCTTACTGAGTGTGCTCAGTCTGAGCAAAGAGGATTCCCAAAGCCCGAAGGATGACGGAAGCTTCCACAACCACCACACGCATTACAAATTCCCCCAGAAAGCAGTGAAAATCCCTCTGTGCTGTGCACCTCATGAGAGATAAGCGCCGCTTGTCAATCCTGCCCCCAGATGTGCAGTTTAGAAAATGGTGCCGCTTTTATTGGGAAGGTGGTTCCTGGGGTCCCCTCTGTCCTTGTGTTTCTTGTAGCGCTGGGGATGAGTCTCAGAGATGCCAATACTACACCATACTGCATCTCCCTCCCAGTTTATACATTTTTTTGTTTACCTGTTTATATTTTTGAGAAAAGGTTTCGTGTAGCCAATACTGGCCTAGAATTCCCTCTGTCATCTAGGATGACGTTGACCTCTGAGGCCCACCCTCCCTCCAGCTTTGGGATTACAGGGATGCATGGCCACACCTGGTTTTATGCAGCCCTGGGGATGACGGATACCCAAGGCTTCTTGCATGGGAGGCAAAGCTCTTCTGAGCATCTGGCCTGTCCCTCCCGAATGATGGGATGACAGGCATGTCCTGCTATGCTCTGCTGCTCTAGTTCCTAGTTTTAATTTTACTTTTTTTATTACTCAGAAGGTTGGATAATTTTCTTGTCGTCATTACAAATTTTGTCTTTCATGTCAATTGTCTATAAATGCCCTTTCTCATTATTTTTCAGGACTATTTTTTTCTTCAATTTGTCCATTTAGTAAACTCTTACAGCTCCCTGTGAATAGATTTAAATGTTTTACATATATTATTAGTTTGCCATCTTTACTCTATAATTATAAATATAATAATGTATAATTATCATGTAATTTTTACTTATTTCGTGAAATGAATATCTGGTCACCATGATCCATATTTCTCTATAATAGGAAGCAGAAAGCATGTCTCTGCCCCTGGCAGTGTCCTAGCTACATGTCTGTTGCTGTGGTAAAATAGGCTGGGGAAAAGCCATTTAGGAGAGAGGGGCTTTATTTGACTTACAATTTTAGGTTGTAAGTTGAGGCAGGATCTCAAAGCAGCTAACCACACAACATCTATAATAAAGAGCAGCGTGGACTGAATGGGTGGATACTTACTTGCTCTCAGTTTCTTCACGCTTACACAGTTCAAGACCCCCTGCCAGGGGGGCTAGTCTTCTCACATCACAACTAATTGATTGTTTAATTAATAAACAGCCCCCCATAGACATGTCCACCAGGCCGACCCCATATTGGCAGTCCATCATTGAGACTTCCGCAGAGATTTAGGTTGTGTCCTGTTGACCAAGTCGACCATCACGGGATGTAAACAACAGCCTGCTCCATATCCCACAGCTCAGTGAGTAGACTTCGAGCTTGTTTCCTGGACAGCACTCCCTTACACAGCGAACAACCTATACAATAGCCAGTTTTCATATAAATGTTCGTACTGTGTGTTATTTTCTCAACTCATCAACGAGGAAGATGAGGTTCAAGGAATTTTTCAGCTGGCTTGTCCGACCTCCCACACTTCTAAACCGAGCCAGATTTGAACACAAATGTGTTTGATTTCGAACCAGAACTAATCATGATATGGTACGATCTTTCTATGTTGTCTAGCAATGCCTAATGTTACAACAAAACCACCCCCTTTTTTTCTCACCTCGAGGTTTCATTTTTAAAAGTATGGATGATTTAAATGTTTCTGCAGCTAGCTGAGCAATTGATCTCTTCACATTTAAAAACATTTTTGTTTTTATGCTTAGGAAGTATTGA